CAACATGCAACATGCAACATGCAACATGCAACATGCAACATGCAATATGCAACAAAAATTTAAAAAACATTTTTTCATATTTAAATTACTCGTGCAAATACAGAACTTATTAATATCCTCGTCCTCCCTATATAATATCTACAGAATCCAATACAGAATATAGGCAACCACATTTCGATTGAAATTAATCGTAATCATAGGTGTTTGATGCCGATAGCCCCAACCCAACCCCCACCAAATCCGAGTCAAGACTTAGATGTATTACATGGAGAAAGATTACCAAACATTACCCATTTTAGACGGTATAAAGTAGGGTATGGTGCGCGACGTCCATAGACTGCTCCTGGATCTGTGAGCATTTCGTTTTGCTCTGTTGATTTTGGAAGCTTTTATCAGTTTGTAGGTGTACGGATCCAACACTATGTCACCTTGGTACAAAATCATTGATTGCTCTGAAAAGGGATTCAAAAGGAATTTGCTGATATAACCAGCCCTCTGATTGAACAAAAAGTACAATTGATAAGAGTATCAATGACGCTCAAGTGATTTTTTCTGCACGCTCTCTTTGAATTTTGTTGATTAGTATGAATCTCGTCTTCCGTCGATTGGATGGGAGCGCGTGCTATATGAGAGCTAGCACACCGCACATTCTGTTTTGTCCTACTCAATCCGAAATAACGGTTACTCTAATTTGTATTTTACAAAGTAATGATAAAAAACTTGCTTGCCGTGCTGTGCTGTGTGAAAAACGTCCGCGTTTTCTATTTCTTCACATTATCCGTGTTTGAAACTACTTTTTTTCTATAAAGTGGGTATTCATAAAGTCTTAATGTAAGAGAAACCTGAAATAGCCTTAACGCTGATCTAACTCATATCACGACACAGTCAAGGACAGATCATTAACCGGCTGTCCATTCGTTTCTATCAAGGGCAATAGACCCTAAATCTAATGAAGTTCCACACCTAAAATATCACAATCCTCTTCAAAATATCTCTCCATATATTGAAATGTAAAACATGCTTTCAAAATACCAAGACAATAGTGAAAATTAGCAAAAAAAAAAAAAAAAAAAAAAAGAAAAAAAACAACCGAAAGGGATTCTGGAAGTGATGGTGTTAAACGTCTTCATGTATGCTTCAGGTCTATTAGAATTGAAAACTCCTTGTAAACTGTTCACGATCGAATGCGAACATCGAGATATCGGCCCAACTCATACCGCAGTAAACTGAATAGAGCATTGGAGAATAACATGAAAATGCAAAAAAGGAGGACCCGAAAAAAGAACTTCATCGTGCGTTTGTATCTTTTTACTTTTTTTAATCAGATCACTTGCCATTCTCTAGAGTATCATGTCTTTGTTTAACGGTTGCGCATGAGAAGACACATGAATAAGGCAACTCAATCAAAATCTTATTCACAATGGAATAACACAATCATTGTAGATGTGACAATTGGATCACTGTAGGTGTGACTATGAGTTTCAATTTTTCAAGGCGAGTTTTGGTCGTCTTTCAAGTTTTTTTTCTTTTTCTTCTTCTTTCTCTCTTTTTTTTTTTCTTTTTTTCAAGTTTAATTTTTTTTTTCTTTTTTCAATTTTAATTTTAATTCGGGCGTTCAACCCGCAACTTCTACCCCTTGCAAACTACGTCATCTAAATAAATGCGACAATCTAACAAGCCTGAAGCGAGATGACGTTTTACCCCCGTCTCTAGACCATAATCCTTTTCACACTGCTTTTGTTCTTTAATTATGACTATTGTTCCTGTATTCTCTAAGGAATCAAAAATTTTAATATGAAAGAATTTAAAAAATTATTATGGTATAGAGTCGGGGGTAAAACGTCATCTCGCTTCAGGCTTATTGTTTTGATTTTCGATAGCTATCTAGTTCATTTTCCATGAAACTTCACATACTCACAAATCAATGAATTTTATTTACCTTTGAGATTGCTCGCTTTCTCAGAGTCGGTATCTTTTGCATTCGCTTCTAATGCGAGGGATTTCCTCACTGCATCATTAGCAGCCAGAACGGATCCAAACACGCTTTCATAGCCTGAAATTAGAGGAGGAAATATTGTACCAAAATGTTGAATAAATTATTCATCCATTTACCGCGGGTTTCTATATTCTACGAAATCGGTAGTTGCGAGCTTCACGCTGTTTGATTTTTCGCTGCCGTCAATCAAAAGTAATTGTCGGTACCTTAAATATTCGGCTTGACTGACAGAATATCGAAAACCGCAGTAAACAGCAGAAAACCATGGGCATAGAAAAAAGAATTCGATCCCTACCAAGGGTGAATGACCAGAATTAAACGTAGAAAGATGCTAGATCATCTAATCTTTCTTTTCATACATATTTTTTTTATTTTTTATTTTCTTTCTAAATATATATTTTTTAAACTTAGCATTTGTTGCTTGGCAACCAGGCAAATAGGGGAGAGAATTCCCGTTTTTATACAGTTAAATGTTTCTTAATAAGTATAGCTGGAATCAGTGTAATTTGTCGTATATTTTTACTTCCAAGACGCTCGAGTGATTGGGCAGTCTCCCAAACTAGCGGCTAGATTATCTTCAAAGTGGGCGAAGCCGAATTAAATTGAGTTTGGATATAAGTAGATTCTTGCCTTCAGAGGCAGGGAAACCGAGGAATGCGGAAAAAATCCACGTGGCAAGAGGGAATACCCGCATTAAAAACCTCTATCTAATGGACCCTTCTCACAATTATAGTGGATGCGAGATAGAAAAGAAAAATAGAGATAGAAAAGAAATCGTACTTTTTCTCGATGGATTTGTTGTATTTTATGTTAGCCTCGCATTCAACGGACAGGTCCATTGTTTTGGGAAGGCGTGTTTACACCACTCATGCCCGTTCTAGCTATGTTATTTTTAAACGAATGTTTACAACAATATCGCAGGATCTTCCGTACCTTTTTTAGCAGCTTTGACTTTACCAGCTTCACTCTGCTCCACCATAAATGTATTCAGAAGGAAGACAAGAACCAAACCTTTGACTAACGATTTGGCCATTTTTGCGTTGACACGGCTCAGTTCGAGGATAGTTCAATCAACACACAACCCCGCTACTCAAATACCAGCCTATATAAGTAAGTAAGCTCTAACTAAACAACTTAGTAGTTGTTTTGAAGAATGATTTTACATAACAATCAAGGAACTTATTTAGAGCGGAAGTATTTACCTTCAAGCGCTTACACAGCCAAGCTTTGTAAGTAACAGGGTAGATAATATTAGCTTTTTGATACACCGATTTACATTAAACGAAAAAAACATGACTAATCTGACTTGCAGCTGTACTTTCACTAAATACCAATTATTGAGAAGTCGATCAAGGCCATTAGTGTTGATTACTTTGAATTTTTTTGAACGGCAGAATTTTGATAGAATGAATTGGAAGTGACGAGAGAGATATAAATTTTACACAAGAAAGCTAGTCGAGCGGGCAGTTAAGTCAGGTGAATAATTAAGAACAAGAATAAAACCCTGTTGCTATCTTTCACGTACTTCATTCATATTTAATAATTCGTTCCTGTGTTGTTTCAAAATATGGTGTTTCCTTTCGACTACCGTTATGAATCGTTTTCGTTATTACTATGCCGTCATCCCGATACCACTATTTACTCAATGATATATAATCATCTTTCTTGGCTTTAACAAAACCGTTATCTTCCCACTCCAAAAGGGAATGAAAAAACATTTGAATAAGGAAAAAAATCCAGATAGGATTTTGTTTTTTCTTGGTACCAAGGTGTAATGAGGGGTATTCAATGAAAAACTGCATGTTTGCAGGCTTGAGACAAACGTAAGCAGTTGAACTCATAATATATAAATATAATGAACTCATAACATAATGAAAAATAGAGACAGATGCAGGCGAAGAAGAAGGTACGTTTTTATTGCGTGGCCGGGGGAAGGGGCTTCAGAGGGGAGGGACATCGGTGAACATTTAAGCTCTTGTCAAGTGGAGGGTAAAACCGTTTTATCTTGACGAAAAATAGCTTCTTGTTGACTTAATAGGAGGGTCATGAATTTCTTACTGAGAGAAAAGCGGGAGGGCTACAACCCCTTCCCCCAATGAAATAAAGTACCTTCAGTAATTGGAATCTTGGTAGGATTGAGTAGGGAGGGGAGAAAGTTGGGAAAGGGGGGATAAAGGGAGGCGGACAAAGAAATATCCAACCATCACTCCTCACCCACCCCAAAAAGCAACAGAAACATACAGACAACAATGATAATTGATTAAGAATCCTAGAAAAATACATAAACTAATAACATTTGTTAATACCTATTCTTTACCGAAGAAAACGGGAGAGCCACGAGAGCAAGCAGTTGATGTAGAGTGGTTTTCATTAACCCGTGAAACAAGGCCGGTGCAAGACTGATAAACAAAACGCATTAGGAAAACAAAACGGACCCTTTCACGGTTTTTCAACTTTTTACATTGACTAGCTAGCAACAATGAATCGATGAAATTGGAAAAATAACCTCAAAAATTAGTAAATTTACCAAGTCATTGAGAGTGATATATGGGAAACAGGCGAAGACATAGCTATGACAAAGTCATGAAATTTTACAGACGTTTGTATAGTATAAAATGCAAAAAAATTACGGAGTTATATCTTTGCCATTTTCCAACTAATTATCCTCTAGTTTGCTAACTTGCTCATATCAAAAGTTACAGAAAAAACAAACAAACAAACAAAAAATACCCTGGAATGGTCTATTAGAGTTAAGTAGTTCTAAATAGTACGCTAACGTGCATTTCACGGGTTTATGACAACTACTCTAATGTTTTCATAAAAATATGACGAATCACACCCAATACAATAGATAGAGCGAGAATAGGATACAATATATTTTTTGAATACATTACATATATATATATTATATATATATAATATATAAATAACCATCCAATTAGAAATCACATGTAAGGGATATATCATGAAGATCCTTGCCATCTGGCCAATCAGAAAAGTTCAAACGAAACGAGTTCGAACTAAAATAGCAATTCAGCCACAAGTCATATTTGATTGCTTCGCATTTAGAGACAACAGAGCAGATAAATTGATAGACTGACGACTGACTATTAAATATCTCCAGGGAGGAAAAACTGATCAGTGACAGTCGATTCTCAGTATGACTTCTTTTTTAATTTTTTTTTAGAAACCTCAAGCCCCATTGGGACAAGTATCGATAATGGTACTTCTCCTAGTACTTTGTTTATCTAGAAATCGCCGTTATAAACGAATTTGGTGGACAGATTCGACACCTACCAGTCTCACAGAACAACCTGTTTAAGACGAAAACACACAAAGTTGGAGACACGGTACAGGTCAGATGATTGGATTCTTTTATGTTTTCTTTATAGGTCACTAGTCACAATAGAGTACTGCAGGTGAATAAAAGTACATTACTTGTAGAGTGTCAGTCTAATCTATGTATTATTAACGAAATAAGTCGCCTAACAGGTTTTTGTGGTCCTTGAAGTAGTTTGTTTAGGGATTCACTTCAAGGAGATGCGACTGATTTCACAATGAATATTATAAGGTGTTTTCTTTGTTTTTGGGTCGTAATGAATCTCTCGTGTGACGAGGTTGTGGATGGTTTGAAAGATAAAACTCTTGAAGGACCCCCGAATACGATTCACTCAGAGTCGACAGACGAAGAAGACGACGTTGAAGATGGTTCTACAAGTGGCACCAAAAAATTTGAAGAACCAAATTATTTTGATCAGTCGTCACAAGAAACAAATATTAAAGATACTTCCTCGATCGTCAACGAGGATCTCCCAGACATAAGGGGGAAAGATGTAACTCCAGAACAAGAGATGTTAATGGCTGCCACTCAAGACTCTGATTACCAGCAGGCAAGTGTAGGTGATGTTAACGGACAAGTTTTTGGTGCACTGACTGGAAGATCGTTAAGGCGCACTTCGTCGACTGATGAAAAAGAAAATGAAGGCACTTCCTCTGAAGATAATGACTCTCTAAGTTCGGATAACTTGATGGGGTTTAGCAATTTTTCTGAAAGTCAGGGAGGGGATTCTGAAGATCAGCGCCAACAGATACATTACCCAGTATATCACGATCCCAGACCATTTGGCGTCCATCCCCCCATGAAAGCTCCCATGCCTTATCCTGCCACCATCCATGTTAGGTTACCAGGAAGTGTGCACATGGTACCCAAAGTCTATCCTGTTCATGATTACAGAGGTGTCCCAGTTCCAGTGAGGTATCATAAAGTACAAAATGTAGATTCTCCTTATTATGTGCCGTACAAAGCAGGACCTGATGTAGAAGAGACTCATTTAGACGTATTTCATCCCGGTAAGCAATGTTAACTTACGATCATGGGTGTCATGATTTGGGACTTTAGCTAACCTTAACTTGACTCAATTAGTAGTGGAATTGAGTAACCTGCCTTTTGTTCTCACTATAAAGAAAACGTCTGTAGGGCTAAGAAATGGAATAAACTTTAAGATTCCATGTCGCCATCTAATACTAATGTATAATTTTTTCCCCTTGTCTCAAAACTAGTTAATCCTTGTAAGAACGAGGGATTGCTGCTGCACAGTAACGGAGGAATGGTTTGCTTGTGTACAAGAGATTACCAAGGCAGATTCTGCGACGGTACGTTCTGTACATAAAAAACTACATGTATTTATAATGTAGATCATTTACAGCACAATCCGACGAAGAATAGTAATTTTTTTAAGTAGGAAGCATTTATAAAATAATTACAGGCATGCAAGTGGCAACGGTTTTACGCTGAGTTGCAATTGGTTTGTGCCATAAACTAAACTGGAACTTGTTTACTAAAAGACTGAACGCGATCAATGCACAACGATCGTGATGGTATATCACTTAAATGTGACTTGTGAATGGATGGGTATTTTCTTAGCTATTTTTGTTTTTTTTGTAATTTTCTGATTGGTCCAGAGCAGAAGGATCGTGGTGTTATATCATTTCTTTCTAACTGCTTGATGAAATAATAATAAATAGTAATAAAAGATTGGGCTTTATGTGAATATTATCTTGTTGCTTCTGTTTTATCATTGAACAAATGTAAATGTTCTTCTTAGAAAAGTTGTACTGTCCGTCCAATCCTTGTCTTAATGGAGGTGTGTGTGACGAGATTGCAAATAACTACCGTTGTAGATGTCCAAAGGGATACCGTGGGTACAACTGTGAAGGTACAGTAAAATGACACTTTTTAAAAAAGCTAATAAAATGTAGGAGATCAGACGATAACGATTAATTGAAGCAGTTAATGAATTTGTGCGTTACAAAAATGGTGCTATTGGAAAAGTATTTTATTATCGGGCGATGTAATTTGAAGTGGTATTCTACTGAGCTCTAGGGCCGTCCTGCCTGCCTAATTATAATTTTCTGTCCATTTGCGCAAATGCAATTTTCTAATCAAAATTGTTCACTATTTCTATCCTTGTTGTATTTTGTTCAGTGAAAGATGAATGTGCATTAAATCCATGCAAGAATGATGGCACTTGTGTGGAAACCTTGAATGGCATTATATGTATCTGTAGGTCAGGATTTACTGGTCAACACTGTGAATGTAAGTAATGGAAGTGTGGTAACATATATCAAAATTTTTGTTTATAGAGGATAATACTTGACACTTATTCAAATGATAAACTTGTAGTATTTTAACATTTGTAATTGATTAGGAACGGACCGCTAGCTGAGGTGGTAATCCGAGCCTCGTGAAGGTCTAACCATTTGCAGCGGTGCAGCACCTTCTCCTCATGCAGCTATAGGACCCTGAGTGTTGGCCCGGGCGGGACTCGAACAAGGCTCTTACCAACTGGGCCAAATGAAATAAATGTCCTTACTTGTAGTAGCTTCTAGCTAATTTTATTATAATTCATTTGATTTTGTTTTTAAGCACCGGATTTTTGTGTGCCCAACCCCTGTAGGCACTGGGGCACGTGTATTCAAACTCACACAGGACATCATGAATGTCAATGTACACCTCACTTCAAGGGACATCTTTGCGAAAGTAAGTCAGAAAACTTCATTTTTATTAAAAATAATCAGTGAAATAAAAAAAGCATTTAAAATAGTTAATCTTTGGTGCCTTTTGTCAGCTAAATAGCAATGCCTCCTACAAGGGACGCTGTTATGTTGCGGGTTGCACATTTTGCACAATGCACTTTCTATTAGCTTTTGTCTAAATAACATTGACCAGAAACTAGATGATATTCGATTCTTCATGCAGTTCTACTATAACAAAATTTCACTATTTCAAGTGAGAGTATTAATATATTGAATGAAGAATATTATCTTTACAGCGAGAAGGATATGTTACGCAAACCCTTGTAAAAATGGTGGCAAATGTATTGAGGACGGTGGAAGATATCCTTGTATCTGCCCACATGGCTACAAACCTCCATTCTGTCGAGGTAAGACAATCAATATCAAGTTTAATAATGTTAGGCAAATACAGGTGGCGTAGCGGCGAGAGCATTCGCTTCACACAAATGTCGTCGACGAGAATCCGATTATCAAAAATTGTGAATAGGGAGTTGCTCGTTGGTTCTGCTGTCTATTTGAGGGCTTTACTTTCTGCTCCTGTATTTCAACCTTACGAGAATCAACTTTTCATTTCACACGGGACTTGTCGAAGAAAAGCTATTTTGTATTACTACTTCTTAAAACCTTTTCAAACTTTTAAACTCTGTGTTCTTTCTTTTAGATTTAACTTTTGAACAACAGGCAAGCATGATAATTAATTGAATGTTAGATATTTGAATAGCGTATTGTTGGGGTGAATGTTACGTCATGTTGGTTGACGATAACAAAGCACTCATCATTAGCTCCTATTGTTAATATCTACCAACATGTCGACTGATTCATGGTTATTTATATCTCGAGGGATTTTGAGTCACGTGGTTGTGTTCCAAGTACAGTTCACTGAATGGTGTTTCGTCGCTATTAAAACTCTTCTTTACTTACTTTCAGAACACGTGTGTTCACAACATCCTTGCTTGAATGGTGGCAAGTGTGTTGCTTATGGTTCTGCCAACGGCTGGCATTACAAGTGCAATTGTCCTTTACTTTACAGAGGGGAACATTGTGAAAGTAAGACAATTATGGATGAACATCATTTAATATACACATCTAGGATGCATAGCATATCCCAAATGCACACATGGCGTTCAATAGACCACTTTATCTTGTATACAAATTGCCCATTTCAGACCACGTGACATTCCCCTGAGAATTGTTCTTTTATTATGAACATTTAAAACATTATACAATCAACTACTCCCAAGAATGGTATTACATGGTCTGAAATGGGACAACAAACAACGAAGGTAAAGCAGTATATTTGAGCTGCCATGGTTGTGGACTTACTAGTCAGTCTAGAACGTAAACGACGGCAATTGAAATTGGACGCCATTTTTGCATTCGGTGTATCTTCAAGACATATTTTTATATCCTTTGTTAATTTCTCTATGTGAAAACGACGTTAGTTAGTCCAGACCCATGGCAGTTTAATATAAAAACTATTTTTATTTGAATTTGTATCTTTTAAAAAAACTCTTTTTTATATGCTTTGTCTACTTTTAGTCCCAAATCCCTGTGTAACTAACCCGTGCTTGCACGCTGGCACCTGTATCGATAGTTTCAGCGAGTACTCGGGATTCCCAGCTGACTGGAATACAAGACACTTGCATTACGTTTGCGTGTGTCCTCCAGGATACTTTGGTCCAAAATGTGAAGGTATTTCAATGATTTATATTTGTCTTCAAAAGCAACCTACCTCCCTGTGTTATATGCTTTGTATAGAACAATGCGAATTCCAGAAAAAACAGCAGAATCACGAGCAGAGTGCAGAGACACTAAACATTATATTTTGTTGCCTTCGAGGGCGATGACATTGACGTTTCGTTTCAATTTAAGTATGATTTATATGTAAATTACCTTTTAATTTGAGATTCATTGCTAGTGGGGCACGTGGTTTTAATGCAACTCTCTTAGCTCTCTGAATGATTTATTCATTCTTCTTGCAGACAACATTTGCATCAAGTGTCATAAAAATGCAACTTGCATTTCAAATCGCTGCGTATGCAATGATGGTTTTTATGGAGATGGCTTCTATTGTCGTCGTAAGTTTAAACTTCTTTTGTTATTAAACATATTAAGAATAGTAGATATCAAATTTATTGACGCGAACGAACGAACGAACGAACGAACGAACGAACGAACGAACGAACGAACGAACGAA